GTTGATAGATCTTCCACCAGTCCTGACCCCACAGTTCTCCTCATAGAGCCCAGCCTCTCAGATAATCTGTTCTGCATACAGGTTGAAAAGGTATGGAGGTAGGACACATCCCTGGCATACACCTTTCCCAATTTTGAACCATGCAGTGTTTCCTTGCTCTGTTCTGACGACTGCCTCTTGGTCCAAGTATAGATTTCACATTAGAACGATCAAGTGTTCTGGGATTCCCATTCTTCTCAGAGTCAGCCACAGTTTGTTATGATCCACACAGTCAAATGCCTTTGCATAATAGACTCCTATAAAAAGGAAGGCCTTCAACAAGACAGATTAACACAGTGACCATGACAATGGACTTGATTGACCATGGGAAGAGATCATGAGAATGGTGCAGAATAGGGCAAGCTTCAGTTCTTTTGTTCATAGGGTCTCTATGAGTCATAGTCAACTGACAACACCTAACAGCTCAACAGTACTATGGGGTCAGGAGGCAGTCAGTTAATATTAGTAGGAAAAGAACAAGTCAAAGGAGGTTGAGAAGGGTTGCACAAATAGAAGAATTTCTCTTCATCACTGAATTGCACATGCACAAACTGTTCATTTAGTATAGTTTTATTGTGTATGCTCAACAATAACAACGTACAATTTTTTAAAAAGCAAAGCAACAAGATCTGTTGGGAATCAGCCAGAAAGAGAGATTAAAAAAGAAATCAATAAGGAAATATGTTCAATTTGTTTGTGGTGTTTTTGTTTTTTTTTACCTGAAGCACTGGAACCACTAGTGTTAGCAAGGGAGTGAACCGGGACTGGCAGGAGGCTGCGTATTAGCCTGGAACCATCAGGCACCATCATGCCTCAGAAGGAAGATGGTTAGCAGACCTGCTTACAGTTTTAAAGTTTTCCTGTGAGATCATACTAATTCAATGAGTAATTTTTGCCTTGGAATGTGAGCTTTTATTTTAAAAAACCTGATGTGAAGAACAACTAAAATAGGGTGTTGTACTTTAATCCAATCTACTGGACTTAAAAATATGTTTCTCTTTTCATGGTTCATTTTGGAAGCTGCTAATATGATTGACTTTGTTCCTTAGCAGAGAATGCCTGTTGCTCAGCATCATTTCAACAGAAATTGTCATGATAATAATGTACAGGCCTTTTGATCTTCCCGGCTCAGTGTGGAGCTTGACTAACCTGATTATTATAACTCTGCCAGATCCTGGGTTTGAGTCTGTTAATACAGCAAAACAAATTTCAAATGAAGCATCCCTCGTCTGTCTTATCCCAAGACTATTATATTTTATTGTCTGAAAATGAAGTTCACTGTGTAAAAAGAAATGTGTATAATATTTTTGTTTTAAGAAGTTAAGTTTCATGTTATTTTTCCAGGTTAAAAAGTGAAACCTAAAGCTACTACATCCATGGATAATTCAGTAACCTGTTCAATAAATGTTTATTAAAATGCTTGATGTGCTGCAGACTGTGTGAAAGGTGCTGGAGACACTGTGGTAAATGTTTACTTGTCTTTTATTTGACATAAAGATCATAAAGATCAATCCAGCCCAACGTAGGGGGATCCATTTTTCTACTCTGACTTCATCGGTCTTCCTACCACATGGAGTTGGAGTCAGAACAGAAAAAGTGGGGCAACTTGCCAGATATCAGAGCTCTCAGAGGAACAGAGGAAGGGAGGGTAAGCAGCGTGTAGTCTGCTGAAGGAGTCCCATGCAACAATTCAACTTCAGAATGAATTTTGAGGATTTGCCACACAGTGGATGAATTATCACCTTTGCTACAATGGCGTGTCATCCCAGCTATACAGACAGCATTATGCATAAAGAGCACTGGGTCAGACAGAAGATGAACAGAGCACTTACCAAACGCATTAGGAGGAAAACTTCTGAAGTGGCATTTACCAAAAAGAGAACAAGGAAACACTGCATGGCTCAAGATCAAGAAAGGTGTACACCAAGGATGCATCTTATCTCCATACCTTCAATCTGTATGTGGAACAGATAATTCAGGAGGCTGGGCTTTATGTGAAGGAATGTGGCATCAGGATTGGAGGAAGACTTATCAACAACCTGAATTATGCATGTGATACAACCCTGCTTGCTGAAACTGAGGAGGACCTGAAGCACTCACTGCAGAAGGTCAAGGACTGCAGCCTTAAATACGTATTGAATCTCAACATCAATTGAAGAGCATTATGCTGAGTAACTAACTCAGTCCCATAAGAACAAATATTGTATTAAACCATTACTGTAGAATGAGTATGAATATCCAAGGGGGGGAGGGTCAAAGCAAAGGGGTGGGGTGGGGAATTAATTATGGGGTTGTACAATTTGATGGTGGGGGGTGATGAAAATTGGAAGAATCTGGTCTGAAAAACAATGTATTCAAATTTCGTAAATAAACTAGTTGTTGTTGTTATGTGCCATTGAGTCACTTGCAACTCATAGCGACCCTGTGTACAACAGCCCTAAAACCTGCTCTGTCTTATGCCAGTTGCACTGTCTCTGACACACCCATCCCAATTACCCCAGTCACTGAATCAATCCACCTCATAGAGGGCCTTCCCCTCCTGCGCTGTTCCTCCACCCTCCCAAGCATGACGTCCCTCTCCAAGGAAGGGTCTTTTAATTTCCTGGGTGCTGGTGCCAAGAATATTGACTGTGGAGTGAAATAGACTAAAGCTGTGAACAATCTCAATCTCTCCACCATCCATCCTGATGCTGCCAATTGTATCATAAATAAAAATTAATAAATCTTAAAAAATTAATAAATTGAAAAATAAAACAATGATTCTCACGACTGGGCCAATTGGCAACATCATGATAGATGGAGAAGAGATTGAAATTGTTAACAGCTTTAGCTTGCTTGGTTCCACAATCCATACTTTTGGTACAAGCATCCAGAAAATCAAAAGCTTAATTAAACTGGGAAAATCTACTGTCAGGCACCTATCCAGAGTATTGAGGAGCAATAATGTCAGTCTAGAGACTAAGGTGCATCTGATCCAGGCCCTGGTCTTCACAATTACTTGTTATGCATCAGAAGGCTGAACAATGACTAAGAATGATATAAAAAGAATCTATGCCTTAGAGTTATGATGCTGGATAAGAGTATTGAACATACCATGGACTACTAAGAGAACAAATAGATCTGTACTGGAGAGGGTGAAACAAGGTTATTCCTTTGAGGCAAGGATTTTGTAGCTTTGTCTGACTAACTTTGGGCCTGTTGCCAAGAGGGTCCAGCCCTTGCAAAAAGACATCATGCTTGGAAGGGTGGAGGCACAGCATAAGAAAGGAAGACCCTCGGTGAGATAGATTTACTCAGTGACTAGGGGATGGTGGTAGATGTATCAGAGACAATGAAGTTGGCTCAAGATAGAGCAGGGCTCAGAGCTTTTGTACTTAAGGTCACTATGAATCGCAAGCGATTCAATGACACATAACAACAACAACACACAAAGATTGGGCATTCCTATAAGAACTCCACTGTGCATAATTTATAGCTTCCTCTATATAATTATACTCAAGTAAATTTTAAACCCTTTATATTTTTATTGATTTCCTTGTTTCTTCCAGAAAATTGTAATCTCTTAATGTGTGCATTTCAGAATACAAATTTAATCATCTTAATGAGTCCTCTTCTCTGTCATTAAAAGTCATATATTAATGTTCCACCAAATGAAAATTACATGGGGAAGGGCTGTGTTTATTATGCTCAGTGCTGCATCCGCAGTACCTAACTATGTGCAGATCTCTGTCTTATTTTTGGTCTGCCCCAGCTTTTTGCACACCCTTCTTGTGTTTGGGGAATTTCTCATCTTACAAGTTGTATCTCTCCAAAACAGAGACCAGAAAATGAATTCCCCAGCCATCCTTGCTGCTGAGGCAAAAGCTTGAGACCCAGGCTCTTCCGATAACATGAACCAATAATACTGATTCAACTGAGCAAAATGAGGAAGCAGGCTTTACCTCAAACCACATTTTTCTAGACAGAGCACAGAGATATCCAGCTTACTCCTCCAGTGAGGTTCTTCTGAGCATTCCCCACCCTGCTCCGTATAGATCAGGTGCTCCCTTCCTCTCCCCACCCCCACACTCTAGACCTACTGTTTCAGTGTATTTTCTCATTGCACTGTAATTATTAGTATGTTTTATTAAGTTCTATTCTGCTGTAGTAACTAAGGTAAGATTAGCTATTATTATTACAAACACCCCAACAATCTATAAATTGAACATTATGAAAGTGTTTTTCCTAATATAAAACAAAATAGGGATTCGGGACCAGAAAACGGTTTTCTCCTGCAAAAAGTGATTTGAGAACGTGGGCTTCTTCCACCTTGCAGTTCTGCCCTTTAGCACATGGCTTCAAAGGTGCCATGCTCGTGTGAACCAAGCCAGAGAGCCAAAGGCGTGAGGGGTGGGGTGAGGTCAAGTGGAGATTGTATGATCCAGGTCATGAAGCGCTGCTTAGCACTTCTGCTCACATTCAGTTGCCCAGAGCTCAGTGACATAGTTACACCTAACTGGAAGATAGCTTCCTCTGGATTTGTCTAGAGTAAGAGTACTAAAAAAATCATAAGCAAGGGCCATGCCTTAATGCATCCTCCCACCAGCTTCCTTCTTGCTCAGTCTTAAAGCAATCACTACTCAGAAGGCCGAGAATACAGTTGCTCCGTGTAAGACAGGCAGATGAGACTGTGATCTGGATTTCCTTTCCTTGGCTCTCCAGTACTTTCTAAAAAGAAAGAATTTCTGTTTGAGGGGCATACTGGGTAGTTATTTCTGAATGCTTTATTTACAACTGCTTTTGTCTCCAGATGCCCCGGGTGGGTGTCATCTCTGAAGGGAAAGTGCTTAGCATGCAGCATCAATGCCACATGTGCTCTGACAGAGGGCACACAGAGGGGTTAGGAGGCTCCACATCACTGCCTGTTGATCGCTTCTGGGCTAAATAAAGTCTTTCTGTTTGCTTTGCCTCTCCTGACCTAGGTGCCTTGTCAGCGGCCAGGGAGAGCTGGGAATATGACTCAGGTGCCAGGGACCTGCAGAGCCCAGACCTGCAGAGTCAGTCAGCCCTGCAGAAACTGCTGGAGGGTGGTGGAAACTCCCTGCATCAGCAGGCTGCTCTCCACAAACTGCTCACACAGCCTCCGGGTTTTAGCGGCTCTGTAGGAGGAAGCTATCTGGAGCTGGCCAATACGGTAAGTATTTTCTGGTTCTTTTACACATCCTTGAGCTTGTCTGTATTCCAAAACAAATATTTTTCTTTTGTGCTCCAAGGGACATGTCAGATATCATCTTTTCATTGGAACATTGTGCCATTTCCAGCATTACCACTAACTTAAAGTGTTCCCAAGTGGCTAGCATGGTCAGAGGGACCTCAGTTTCATCATTAAGACCAGATGATTCCACAAAGGTGCTTGATCAAGTGTCTAATTTGTACAGATTTGGTTACTTGAATGGCTAGAAAACCTTTTTTTTTTCATACCTAGAATACTTCTAGTTGGTATTACATTATAAATTTTTAAGACACACTCCTTTCTGCTCCTTAATTTCAATTTTATTGCTTTGAAAACAGAACATAGAATGTTTCAATCAGACTTTACTTTTACAATGTGGATATTTATAATTTGTTATATAATTAAACCTGTGATAATATAGTAATAGCACGCATAGTGGACATCAGCTACCTTAATACTAAGGTGGAATACCCAAGAACAGATTTAGACTTCATTGGAGAGAGTGGCCCACTGCATGGCAAAGAACTTCCCTCAGATGTCATAATCCAGGCTCGAAAGGGGGAAACCACCATCTTGTTGAGAAACCACCGCTCTGAAACATCAAGGTTCATTGGTGCCTAAACAAGTGCCATAAGAATTCTCTAAGGAGCTGCCTCTAACAGTGGTGCAAAACTTTCTAAGAAGCTTCCCATAGTGTTACCACTGAAACTTATTAGTTACGAATACAACTCTATGTGCTGTATACTGCTGGCCTCCACCCACCACAAAAACAAAGACCAGTCCAAGAGAGCCAGAAGAAAATTCTTTCTCTTGCAGTATCATACCAGCATTCTTTATTGACAAAGGAGAAATATTTACAGGTTCTGGCTTTGGTATCTAAAATGCTCAATGAAGGTGACTTTGGAGAGGAGAGATATTAGCATTGAGAACCTTCTGAGGACTTTCTACACAAGCCCTTATAATCTTCTCTTTCTTCTATCAAACCCTTCTTTTTCTACCTGTTGTATTGTGTGCTGTAGATGGCCGGCAGGAGACTCTGGCAGCCTTCACCACAGAGTTGCTCGTGCTTCCACTCCAGGACTCAGAGGAGCTAACAGGGAGCTGGTGGCAGCTGGTACATGTCCATGTGCTGCCCCACACTACGTAAATAAGCCAGCAGACCAGGAGCATGCATGAGCTGCCACATGGCTTGGTACCCTGACCAACTCTCAGGTCATAAGAGTCGTGTGCAATTTGAGTCAAGAATTTCAGTAAGAGTCAAGAGTTCAATTTGACCTTCCCAATACCAGAGTGTCTTTCATGGCCATACAGGGTCAGACATTGGAAAAATTGTGGAATGATAGTTCCTTTGTAATAGTCAAGTGAAACTGTCATTACAATTTGAACCTTATTCATAAAGATATCAGCAGAACTGTGGGAATTTTGTAAAAAGGAGATGCAATGGGAAAGATATAATGCCTGTTCTCGAAACCAATTTTCTTCTTGGAGGCTAAGATTTTGAAGCTCCATCTCATGTATTTTGGGGAGGTGGGCAGGAGGGACCGACCAATCCTTGGAGAAGGACATCATGCTCAGAAAGGTGGGGGGACAGTGCAGGAGAGGAAGATTCCGGATGAGATGGATTGATACAGTAACGGGGGCAACGGGGTTAGATGTGTCAGAATCAGTGAGACTGGCTTAGTACAGGGCAGGCTTCAGAGTTATTGTACATAGGGTTGCTATGAATCACAGGTGACTCAATAGCACATAACAACATAGGTTAGAATAGCCAAGGATGATTGCAATTATAGATTGCAATATTAGAGATTATTACAATCCCTAACAGTGTTGGTGTATCCTGAAATATTAAAATATAATAACTGAATTAATTCTATAGGTAACAACACTGATAAATTTCTTGAATAAAAGAATTTCAAGATTTATTTTTAAGCCATTTTGCTTGTTGAACTTTAATTTCATTAATAAAAGTACTAATTAATTGTTTAAAATTAATTGTACTTTACAATATGTAAGTCACACAAGGCTTAAAATATGCTAATCAGTATCCAGAAAGTTGGTGAGAAGAGTATCATTTACCTCCCTTATCTCCCTGCCCTTGGATTTTCTTAACAACAGAGGATTTCTCTCCTTTTGTAGTCTTAAAAATGTTACCATTTTTATAGTAATTTGCCAAATTTAGGATTATGAGGGGAGACCTTTGAAGCCTTAGATCAAGAGAGTGTATCCTGGCTCCTTAGCCAGATAAGACTTCTTATTCTGCTAGCACCCTCTTCTGGGCGTTGTGCAGAATAAAAACCCAAAACCCAAGAAATTCTTTCACACAGGGCATTCTTATTACCATTGCAGGAAACTGAAACAGGGTAAATAAAATGTTGGGCTATTCAAGAGGATGCTAAAAAGGGCCTCAACTATCTTCTACAGTCTTGTGAAGACAGATTTAAAAAAAAAATAAACAGTGTATTTAAAAATTCAAATGTCACTTTCAAATTATTAAATCCTATTCTAGTTGCCTTAGGAAAATTTGCTTTTAGGAACTTCTGCAGAGTTCTAAAGAGTAATGATGTCAATTTAAAGCCTAAGGTGCACCTGATCAGTTGCTTACTATACATCTGAAAGTTAGAAAACAGCTAAGGATAACAGAATAAAAACCTATGCCTTTGGGTTGTGGTGCTGGAGAAGACACTGCCAGGAGAACAAACAGATCTGTCTTGGAGAAAGAGCAACCAGGTTGCTCCTTGGAGTGTTATAAAAATAGGAATAATAATCTTTTCTTCATATGCAGGTCATGAGTATTAGATAAAACAGAAAATTCTTAAATCCTGAATGTTGGTGTTTCATAAATAGTGACATTTACTATTGTTGTTTTCTCTCATCACGTCATCAGAAACAAATCTTGTTATTGATAAGTTAATAAATTGGGGTAGAATTTGGAAGTGAAACTGAAGGCATGCTGAAGAAATAAACTCTCTGAAGGGAGAGATTTCAAGATACTGAGAGATATTTTATGAGCTAACGGGCTATCTCCAGATACTGTCATTAGATAGTCTGTGGAATTAATATATATAATAATGCAATCATAAACATGTAGGATTCATTTTTAATTAGAAGATTATTAAAAAATTAATAATCCCTACCTAGAGATAGAAGGTCCTTTCAAAAGTGCTGCTTTTATATAACCTTTTATGTAATAAATATAGGGACATTAAGACCCAGGTTAGAAGTTTATAATTGAAACTAGATGATTTCCCAACAGCCACTAGAATGTTACTGGCTGTTGGCAAGAAGAGAAACATTTGGTGTTAGCACAGGTGGGGTCCTGGAATCTTCACCTTAGATCTTGGTTATTGGACATTCTACCAAATAATACTGGATTGTTATTCTAATGCTCCCTAATTCACTTGTGGGAAGCTGATTCTCAGCCAGAACACCCTGGTGCAGATGACTAACTAGTTGTTGAAATATTGATATGCTTCTGTACTGTGCCTCCTACTCTCCTGGTTAACTAGCCCCCTCTCCGAGGAATCCCTAAACTTACCATGGTTCAGTGACTAAGAGATTTACGTTGGGCCTACAGCACCAGCCCTGACAGCTGACACCATTGCCAGCTGGCGTAGCTTGGGCACCTGTTCCACTTAGTTTTGGCTAATGCCTGTACCACAGTTGTTAAATATTTTTAATATCTCTCCTGGCCTTATGGAATGTGTTTATCTGATGTCATTAATACATTTGTATTTTTAAAAGTAAAACATGAGTTTCTTTCTACTCGTAGTGACTGACTCATGGTGTGTCAGAGTAGCGCTGTGCTCCATGGGCTTGCAGTGGTAAATTCCCAGTCTTGTCTCCACAGCCACCTCTAGGGGAGCCCTAACTTCCACCCTGTCGGTTAGCAGTGAGACACATTAACCATCTACACCATCCAGTGACTTCAATCCTTTTTAAAAAACAAAAAATATGGAACGCTTCACAAATTTGCATGTCATCTTGCGTAGAAGTCATGCTAATCTTCTCTGTATCGCTCCAGTTTTAGTATATGTGCTGCCAAAGTGAGCACTACTTCAACGCTTTTAAAACCCAAACTCACTGCCACTGACTTGATTCTGACTTATAGCGACCCTCCATACAGTTTCCAAGACTATAAGTCATTACAAGAGGCTACTGTCCATCTTTCTTCTGCAGAGCAACTGGTAGATTTGAACTACTGAGTATTTTGGTTAAAACCTTCACCCTGAAACCTACAAGCATCCCTTTTCAGCAGGAAGTAGATAAGAGAATACGCCGTCCCCTTTTCCCTATGAATCAGGGTGAAGTCTCTCTCAGGGGGGAGTGACAGGGAATGGCAAAAGACACACTGACAAAGGAGATTAATCAGAACTGGCTTTGATAAGCACTGTGGCAATGGGACAATTAAAACACACTTTCAAAGGGGGGGGAAAGAGGAACGAACTGGGGTGGGGGGGTAGAGAAAATAGTGCAACAATAAATGAATGGAAATCCAAAATCTCTGTAAATGCTCATTAAAATTAATAAAAGTTTTTAAAAAGAAAGAGAAAAAAAAACAAAACCAACACCCTGTACTCAATATGGATTGAAGCTCAACATCAAGAAAACAAAGATTCTCACCACTGGACCAACTAGCATCCATCATCATGATAGATGGAGAAGAGATTGAGGTTGTTACCAATTACAGCTTGCTTGGCTCCACAATCAACACTCTGGGGCACCAGCAGTCAGGAAATCAAAAGATGAATTGCACTGTGAAAATCTGCTGTCAGGGACCTCTCCAGAGTACTGAGAAGCAACAGGATCAGTCTAGAGACTAAGGTGTGACTGATCCTGGCCATGGTCTTCGCAATTACTTGCTATGCATCAGAGAACTGGACAATGACTAAAGATGATAAATGAATCAATGCCTTCAAGTTGTGGTGCTGGAAAAGTCTTGAACATGAACCATAGACCACCAA